ACATTTAAATTATATAATTAACATTCATTTAAACAAAAATATGCCATTAACAGTATTTATCACATCTAAATCATATTAACATACATCAATTAAGAGAGCTAATGATCGATTGAGAGAAATGCTCGATTAACATAAATCGATTGAAAAACATCATTGCCGAGGGTTCAGAAAAAACAATAAGGAACAAATAAGAGGTTAGTTAATCTCTTACCAGATAAAAAAACAATAAGACATAAATACATCTGAAAAATTTGAAAAACAAACAGTGTGAATGACCATACTTCTTAATGAATCATACATAAAAAGCTGATAAATTTTTTTTATCAAACAACTTAGACTTTTGAATATACTCTTTAGAGGTCATCAGTTCGAATCGTATAAAAATACCTCTAAAATAGTATTTATAATTAATTAAAAAGTCCAATATAACAATAATTTAAGAGAAAAAATAAATAAATCTAGAAATGTCGATGGCAAAGACAAAAACCATCAAAATTGGGCGGTGGGAATATGAGATAGGAAATAAACGATGTTCATTGGTTCGGTTTTCGAGTGTTTGGTTTAACAAATTTCATTAATAAAAAAAACAATTATTTATTATATAATTATTCATGATTCAAATTTGTTTTGAAAATGTAAAGTTTTTTTTTTTTTTTTAATTTAGGGGTTGTTTGTTTACCTCTTTATAGTTTTATTAAGATGCAATATCTGAATCGTTCATAGATGAATTTGTTTGACAAAAAAAGAAGTATATTTCTTCTTAATAGTTATAAAACTCTCTGAATGATTTTGTATCATAGATCTTTCTTAACCATTAAGAGCCTTAATTTCGTTGTACACAATTACCAAACAATTATATTTCATTTTGCACTATATCATGAGAGCCTTTTAATCATTTTGACCACTTAATCATTCTGCACTAAACAATTCAACAATTGTCAAACAACCCCTTAAACTCATATTCAAATTTAGTTTTATTTAGGGGGTGTTTGGGATTGCTTATTTAAAACAACTTATGTTTTTTTGTAAAAGTGCTTATTAACTTATGTGGTATCAAACCGGAGTTTTGTAAAAAGTGTTTGGATTAGCTTGTAGCGGTACCAAACTGCAATAAGCTGATAAGTTGTTTTTTAGTGTTTGGCAAATTTTGCTTATATCTGTAAAATGACAGAGAGAAGATTGATGTTGTTATCTGGAGAAGGGAGAAGATTGAGATCGATGTTATCCGGAGGAAAAGAGATAGGTATAAAGGCTAATAGGGTTAAAATGGTAAACTGGTAATAAGCAATTTTTCATAAGTCAGGACAGATTAACTTATCAAAAACTGCTTATTACCGGTTTGGCACCGGTATAAGCAGTTTTATTTTTTCTTATCCAAACACTAGGTATTAGCTTATCACCGGTGCCAGACTGAAATAAGTCAATAAGTAGATACAATAAGCAATCCCAAACACCCCCTTATTGCCATTTTTTTTTCTTGTTTCGACTAAAAATTGAAAATCTGTACTCGTATGCGCCTCGTCTCCTCTTTTTTTAGATTATATTAGAAGGATACTCGTGTTAATGCAGTGAGATATATCTCGATTTTAATGTTTCGTTTTATTATGTCATGTATATGATTATTATGTGATTTTGAGAAATGAATAATATTTTTATGTTTGAATAAAATATAAATTTGAAAATATCATAAAATTTCGAAAATAATTATATCGATTAGTATCAAATTAACTATTTAAAAGTTCCGGTTTTTTGTGTAATTTCTTTAATGTAATCTTTTTATTATAATTTAATTTAGATTTAATAACAAAGTAATTTATTTTTGATTTTTATAAGGATAATAATTAAGTATCATGTTATAACTTAATGAATATCCTAATTATATTTTAGATTTTTTATATTTAAAATGAAACGTTTATCTTGTATTTGACTATATTTATCTACAGTTGGTTAAACGAATTCAAACATGAAGCTTTAATAAGTTGTACCTACGCAAAATTTATTTGTAATCTTGAATTTTAAGTAATGTGCATCAATAAATAATACTTCATGTATAAAAAATGGTTTTTAAGAGTTTTTATCAAATAGTTTATAATATAGTATAGATACATATAATTATATATCAGATGGATTTTGAAAAAAACATGTCCCGCTTTTATTTGATTCATAAAATATTATCTCCGAGTTTGAAAACATGATATTCACTTTGTCCCGTGATAAATATCAATATATATTCCTTTTAATAAATGCAACAAACTTTTTGATACGTTATTTATTCGGATTCTATTTTATTTTGGCTAATATACATTAATGTATTAACATGTAACGAATTTTGTCTTAGGTTTTTATAATAAAAAACTTATGGGCCGTTTATCAAACACTTAAATGGTAAGTGTTTACCGGTAAAATCTAACACTATTATTTATCTACTGGGTAATATCTTAGTCAACCAAAACGACATCGTATGCAACAATTTACCCGGTAAGCGCTTACCGTGGTAAGAGTCGTCGCTCTCACTTACCGGGTAAGACTCTTGGTCCTTGTCTCGCTCTTACCAGATAAGATTTTTTGTCCTTATCATATTCATCCGGTGAGGTAACGTGACTTGATAAGTGCTTACTCGGATAAGCGTTTGGTAAAAGGCCCATTAAGTTCACCAACAAAGATCGATAACAATCTCATATGAAAAAATTATTGGAATCATTTTTACAACAACAACAATTTGATGTATACCAAAAAATATGAACGGTGTTGATAGTAACCAGGTTGATGAATCTCAAGTATCAATCCAGAAACTCCTTCATTTGATATTATACTTTGGTGGAAAGATAATGCTAATAAGTAAAAATCAGTTCTACGATAAACAAAGATAATTTTATTATACTTAAGGATGCTCAAAAACCCGACCAACCGGATTAACCCAACTCAACCAAAAGCAAAATAACATAATCTGAAGCAATTTGATGTCTAATCAAGTTGTAAATTTTTCAAACCGTAGATATTGGGTTGATATTATTTGAACCCAACACAACCCGATGAACCCGATATCATTTTATTTATTGAATTTAATATGATTGTTGAATTTCTATTAATATACACGTTCGACAATCACACTATCATATACATTCTTCATATACACATATTTTCAATCTATTCACATCTCTATATAACTCATTTGTACGAATATTCAGTAACTGTGAACATAATATATGTAAATTGAGAAAATTAATTGAATATGATATACGTAAGAAATATGAATAAGTTGTATCAAATGGTTGATGATGAAAAAAAAAAATCATGAGTAGAGAAATAACTATTAAGGTTAAAAAGTTATTTTAATGTACCAAAGTATCAACCCGACCAACTTGTATGGTTTGGGTTGGTTGAATTGCACTTTGGTTTGAGTTAAGATTTTTGAAACCGCAAACATTGAGTTGAGTTATTCAAACCCTATCAATCAAACCCATGAACATTCCTAATTATACCTGTATCCACCAAGATGTCATACGTTTTTCACCAAAATTTATATCAACTTATGACCGAATCTAACATATTAACTTTGAACATCTTTAACAGATTCTTTAGGGTGCGTTTGGTACGCTGGACAGGGTGGAACAGGACAGGACAGAACACATTTGTCCTGTGTTTGGTGTGGCCTAATATTGGACTAAGTGGAACTAACTTGGCTAAACATTGGACACGCGTGTTCCATCCCACCCCCCTGGAACTAAGTGGAACACAACCTATTTCCTTCATTACCCTTTCCCCACACCCGGCTGCAAGAAGAACAACCCTGCCCGATAGTTTGTCTCGATCGCTTCCAATCGCCGACGAGTTTGTCTYGATCGCTTCCTCTTGTCGACGGCCGGCGAGTTCCAATCGCCGGCGACTTCCAATCGACGGCGACTTCCAATCGCTCCGGCTACAATGTTGAAGAACGACCTAACCCTTTTCATCGCTCCATCGTCTCCATCGATCCCTCCTGTCGACGGCGAGTTTCAATCGACGGCCTCCATCGCCTCCATCGCCTCCATCGCTTCTCTTCTCTCCATACCCAGGTACACAATCGATCTGTGTAGTGAACGATCTGTGAGTAGTGAACGACATCTCCTTTCGTTCTTGATTCTAGGGTTCTTGTTAATTTCTTGTTAATTTCTGTGGGTTTTGATTCTAGGGTTCTTGTTGTTATCAACTGGTTATTCCATTTTAGCTCACTCTTATTCTACTTGACCAACAGCTTAGCCCTGTTAATTTCATTTGCCTTTGACCAACAGCTTTCAATGCAAAATTTGATTTATGCTACTTGATTGATTTATGCTACTTGATTCATTTGCAAATTTGATCGATCCTAGGACCATGTCACAGTCTTCCAAAATTCAGCAACATGTTTG